GAGAGAGAGAGAGAGAGAGAGAGAGAGAGAGAGAGAGAGAGAGAGGAGAACGAGAGAGAGAGAGATCAATAAACAACCCATGTTTGAAACACCCAGGATGACACCGTCAACTTTTCTAGAGTGGGAATAGGAACAAGACCCAGAAACTGCTCAATTCTTGGTGCACCTGGGATGAGAGCGAGAAGTGGGCAGTAGATCCCCTGAGAACACTCAGTGATGAGCAATTCCAGAAGCCTCACTGGGCAGGAAGGATACTGAGCTATTACAGCCAAGGGTTGGATCCAGTGAGAACCAGAAAATCAGGGCTGAGAAGGGCCTGAAGACACAGTGCCCTGAAACAGGCGGCAAAGGCCGGGTCCGGGTGGACTCCAGCGGCACAGCCAGCCTCCATCAGAATGCCCACCATTTTCTAAGGCAGTTCCCTCTAGAAGGGCACCTCTGGCTCTGGGATTTAAAGATGCCCACTCTCCAGGCACAAGATAGGCCAGCATCTTTGCAAACATGTCTCATATCTGCACCACGACTAGGCAAAGGATGAGGAAACCTTTATCCACCACAGAGGGTGCTGGCTTCAGCTCAGTGCTGGAAATGAAGGCACAGCACTGAAGCCTTACAGTCATTGCTCCCTACGTGTGAGGTCACTGAGAGTCAAAACCAAGAATACAAAAGGTTTTGAATAAAGCCAAGATTCGAGTGCCTAGTAACCTCCTAGTTGCTGGTGGTGTTCTTGGAGATTGCATCTCAGCGTCCCTCACTCTCATCCCCAGGGATAATTATGTCCCCAGCCAAATCTTGCTAATCTGATTTCTCCTTTCACCTCAAATGTGTAACATAGCTCAGCACCTTAAATTTAATAAAGAGTAATTTAATAGGTCCATTGTCTGCATGTAAAAACCAGCACTGTTCCATTTATTTAGGAAAATGACACAGGTTCTCTGGATATACTAGAGAAATAGGAACGGATGTTTGGCTGGAGATTTTAAGAATTTATAGGAAAAGTAACTTCTGGTTTTGTTCTCATCCTGACTGAGGAATAATAACATTTCTTTAATACAGTTATGCATTCCTGTAGCTCCATGTCGTCAGTTTGATACAGATGATCAGGTTTCATGCTGTAGAGGATGGTGAAAACTGGATTAGGCGAAGGGAGCTGCAGCAGTTGTGTTTCTGAAAGTGCTTATATCGATAAGAAATATTCCGCGAGGTGACTGCCTGCTGTGCCCTGGAGAACTGACCATAAGCCACCAGTAGAAACCATCTGTGTGGGTACTTTTTATCAATTTGATACAAACTAGAGTCACCTGGAAAGAGGGAGCCTCAGTAGAGGAACTTAATCCATCAGACTGATCTGTGGGTGTGTCTTTGAGGCATTTTCTCCATTGTTGATTGATGTGGGAGGGCCCAGCCCACTGTGGGCAGTGACATCCCTGGGCAGATGGGCTCAGGCTGTGTAAGAAAGGAGGCTGAGCAGGCCAGAAGAAGCAGTCAGCAGGCAGTGCTCCTCCATGGTGGTCTCTGCTTCAGGTCCTGCCTGTGCTTCCCGCAACAACGATGAGCTGCCACTTGTAAGTCAAATAAACCCTCCTCCTGCTGCCTCCCAAGTTGCTGTGGTTATGGTGTTTATTACCGCAAGAGAAACCAAAGCAGGACTCTGTCTTTCTGGGGCAACACTTCTAACACATTTAGAGGTACTTCATTTATATTTCAAAATAAAAAGGGTCACAGATATAGCTCAGTGGTAGAAACTGGAATGCTCAGGACCCTGGTTTAGAACCCTCAGCACTGCAAAAAAAACCCATTAAATAAACCACCACAATAGAAGGGAAATGACCCCGGGGGTGAAGGGAGAGAGCTCATACAGATGCCGGATACGTACAGAAGCCTAAGGCTTGATGGGTGTGCTTTGCTGTTGAGGAGTGAAATGAAGAATATCATGATAGTTAAAACATTTTCTTTCAAGGATAATTAAAATACTTGTTATAAGCTTACGGAAGTAATTTGATAACAGAAGACTTTCCCTAAACTTGACTGTGTTGACCTGATAGAGCCTTCTGAAAGGATGCTTTTCATAGGAATTTTTCTGCACCTGGTCCCATGACTGGGGAAAGTTGAGAGAATCTCATTTATCTTGGGAGTCAGATTTTTCACATAGTCAAACATTTCCAGGGTTGACCTTTTCCCTCTGCACAGTGGTATTTTAGGAAAATTCTACTGAGAAACTTAACACTAGAACTTGTGAGTGTAACTATTTTTTTCAGTTCTGAACTGAAGACCATTTTGCCCTCAAATCTCCCTCTTGGGGAGATCTGGCAATTTCTGGGTACATTTTTGGTTGCTGTGACTAGGCATGGGAAGACTGTGACTGGCATTCAGTGGAATGTAGAGGCTGAAATGTCGCTAAACATCCCACCATGCACTGGACAGCTCTGCAGCCGAGAATTGATCAGTGCAAAATGTTAATAGGGCCGAGACTGAGAACTCCAGAATTCTCCTTATCCATGAAGTTCAAAGTAAGCTGAAACTGTGCGACCCATCCATTATGCTCTGCCAGTTACTGGGATGGCTGAAGTGCAGGAATCATTTCAGCCTAGGAGTTCAAGTCCAGTCTAGGCCACACTGGAAGACCCATCTCAATATACCTTTATCTATATCTGTATCTATATGTCACACAGATGTATATTGGCATGTGCCATATATATTTGTATAAATCTAAGATTACATAAATCTTCTCTCTGATCATTCAAATATATTTCTCAATTTATAGTCTATGCAATCAATAATGAAAACACATATACCTTCTGAACCATCAGTTTAAAGAAACTCTCTCACTGTGATCATCAAGGACAATAGCTTTGCTAACTTTTATGGGCATAGGGTCATATAGACATCTCATGGATGAACTAAGGAGGGGCTGCTCACCTCTCAAACAGGACCTGGCTGTAGGCGTCCAGGACGTGAGCGTGGGTGTGGAGCAGGATGATGTTATAACCCACTAGCGCCACCATCATGATCAACATCTTCAGCTCATAATTCACCCTCAGGAAAACCGAGCAGGAGATTAGTCCCAGAATGCAGCTGTATATGAAGTACTGGGAGAGGGAGACAGGACAGAAGGACAGACAGGCAGATATTTAGGGACTCCACTGAGAAATGCTGGCCCAGTTAAATTTAGGGCCAAAAGAAGCAGGTGTGATCAAGCCAATGAAAACAGGCTGAGGAGGCAGGTGCCTGCTCCTACCCTCTGATTCCATGGTGTGTACCTGAGTATGGCTGAGTCATGAAATACTGGTATGATAAATAAAATAAGCATTCACATTGACAAACACTTCAGAAGAAATTAAAAACATGAAAATTGAAACATGTCACAAGCAAAGGCCATTTAGTTCTTGAAAATGAAAATAGCATGACACTTGGTACATCTGTGGAATTTTCCGAAGTGACAGAAGGACTGTGATACTGGCTCATCAGTCCTATTCTCAGGGAAGAAGGAAAAAAAGCTGCAGCGGCCGCAGAGCTGGCTTTCCCTCTCTAATGGGGGGTACTCAGTTGCATGGAGGCGCCATGTTAACGTTAGCGCAAAGCCTTTCCTAAAGAGAACTTGCTTCTGATGTTCCTGCTTCCAAAGGAGACCGGCAGTTTCCATCGGATGACACAGCGGGGCCACTCATGGAGAACTTAACATTCTTCCTTTGTGTGTGTGGAACTGACAGTCACTCTTCACTGAGGATGGTGGCATTTTCTGGTATAGTGCGTGTTGGAAGCATAATTTACTCAACCAGGATGACTTAATGTCTGTTCTCCACTGCTTTGACCGATCACAGAAAATAAAAAGAGGCAAAAGGCCGTGCTGAGATTTTTCAGACAGATGTGTCAAAAGTATAACAGAGGACTGTGACCAGTGAGGTGGTGAGACCTCTCTTCCTCACAGCAGAGAGGTGAGGTCATAGCGGTTCTTTGAACTCAGACCTGATTAAGTTTTAGATAATTGTCAAGTACCTACTTTAGGGGGGTCTGAGGACTCAGGGATCCAGTGCACCTCTGCTCTCTGTCTTGCCCACCACAGCCCCTTTAAGGACCAGTAGCATTGCAGTGGGTCCCTGGAGACCTGTACAGAACATTGACAGCAATCGACAGACCTGCTTGATTCTCTTGAATCTAATAGAATGTGGGCTTGTGTTGCATGTTTTCTTTATTGGCGCAATTTTAAAAGTAACCCATTACTACATTCTTTTTCAAGAGCATCAAATCATAGTAGATTGGAAATTAAATAGGCAAATAAACGAAAGAAAATAGGGACTTTCCACAAAGAGTGTGAGAGGCACTGATTTGCAGCCTGGTGGTCCCTTGCTCGGGGGGATACAAGAACCTCAAAGCTGCTCCTCAGAGCTGTGTGGATGCCCTGAGATCTGAACACGGGGCCCCCTCCTAGAGTTCCTGGCCTGTCTGATTACTACAGCAGATCATTTCAAGGCGGAAGGCACTCCTGTATCTTAAGGGGGGAAATAATGCCACAATCACCTCAAGAACTTTTGGGAAGATTATATATGATAATAGTTCAGAACGGTGCCAGGCAAAGCTAGGCAGGTTATTATTAAAAACTGGGTCCCTTTATAAGTTCTGATTTTTAAAAGGATTCTACCACTAAAATTATACTTCAAAGCCACTATTTTTCTGAAAGTTATCAGTCGGCACAGTGCATCTAATGGTAAAGTTAGAACCATACAAAAGGACACATGTTGAGTGTGTTTATTAACCCCTAGTACCTGTGCTTATTACACTGTATGTGTCTTTCTACCACCTCTGTAGCATTTATTATTGGTATTAATATTTTATAAAATTCAATCATATGGCATGTGATGATTTCAAATAATACTTTAAAATAATTTACCACAAATATACATATAGGTCACTAAATATTTTTGAGATGCCTTATTTAAAGACAGTAAAGTTTTATTGTGTGGTAATAAAATTTATTTTTAAAAATTACTTTCTCCTTTTAGGATTCCCCCTTTTTGTTATTGATGTTATGCGAACATTTTGACAGACACCTTTGTGGGTAGATCTTTCCAACTTTATAATTAATTTTATATAAACTTAGGCTTTCAGGGTAAAGAGTTCACCTATTTTTATTCTATGTTGATGATTGCTATACTTATTAGGAAAAGTTAGCCACAATCAGCAGATGTGGACACTGTTCCCCATTGCCTTTTCAGTCTCAGATATCATGTAGAAGGGGGTCTCAGATATGTGGCCTTGTGCTGCACACCCACCAATGGCTTCTTTGCGCTGCTGTGGGAGGATCTGCTAAGACATAAGTCACCGTCCTTCCAGTATTTTCTGGGGCTCTGGACCTCTTGTGTCAGTCATGTTCTTTGTGTACAGGCAGGACTACCAGGGTGGGGCTCTGTTTTCTGAGGACTTATGATTGTGAAATGGCAAAACTGACTCCATATTGTTCAAGCTGACTTTTGCTTTACCCTGTGTGTCTATCCAGCCACTCCCGCTGTAGCCAGCCAGCCAGAACCAGTCCCATGAAGGCTGCACCTGTAGATTCAGGGGGTACACTGTTTCTACAACACTGGGAAACTTAAAAATAGCCAGAGAGCAGTCCTCCAACCCAGCTTTACCTGCAGCTCCATGGAACTCATTGTTTCTGCAATTCTGAGAAACTTTTTGTTAACTGAAAACCTCTTTGTTAACTGACTGCCCCTGGTTTGGTGTAACTATGATGATATGATGGAACTATGGTTATTGGCTTTGCTCCTGGCATAATGTAATTGTAGTTTTAGGCTTTATAAACCCTCTTCTGTCTCCCTTCGGGGTGCGGAGTTCTTTTGGCATTAGCCCCCTCTGACAGCTGGTTAATAAAGGACTCCCAATTCCACCATCACTATGTGGCTTTCCTGTGCAGCTCGAGCTCCCATTACATTTTGAATGAAAAATTAACTTAAAGTCATGTATGAGCCAGAAGATCTTGCACTGTGTGGACTAACAGCACACAAGAAGACAGCAAAGTCAAAGCTGACTGCAACTTTCTTACCGGGAGGAAAAATAACTTCTGTGCACGAAGAATCGCTGTCTGGTTGTCTGGGGTGGAAGAGTTTGCACTTGAGGAATTGGCAGCTGGAAGGATGGTCTCCTCTGGGTCACTCAGGAAAAACTGTAGAGAGAAATGTTTGTTTTTGCTCGAATAAAGTAGCCTGGAACAACATCTACTAGTGACTGGATCCTTACGTGCGGTAAGTAGGAATCTGTGTGTGACTAGGCTAGGGTCTGGGGGCTGCCAGTGATTACAGCTGTCAATTCTTGATGCTTTGAGACATTCTACTTCTTAAGTGATAGTATGGCAGCACACACCCAATACAGGAAAGCCATGGCTTCAAGACTGCTGATAATGAAAACAGAGGCACCTGAATGGAACATTAATGTAAAAATGCACATAAGCGGGGCATGGTGGCGCACACCTTTAATTCCAGCACTTAGGAAGCAGAGGTAGGAGGATCTCTGCGAGATCAAGGCCAGTGTGGTCTATGTAGCAAGTCCAGGGCTAGCTTGGGCTACAGGGATACTCAGTTTCAGACATCAAAAATAAAAAAAAAAAAAACAAATTTAAAAGCACATAGAAAAGGACGTCACCTCCCACCAGGATATTCAATCCTCTCACAAAATCAGAGACTTCAGAATTTATTTCCAGTATATTTGTCCTCTTGGTTCAAACATTTTTAAATGAGTCAAAAGATTTCTGTTTATTTTTTTTTCTAAGAAAGGAAATTAATTTTATGGGCAAAAGGAACTTGCTGACACCAATGTCTGCGTCGTTATTTGTGAGCACTGGCAGCTCAGGGCAGAAGGGATTTCTAGTTTGGGAGGAGGGCTGTTTCTAGAACTCTTGGAAAGGGGGTTGGAATTAAAAACAAAAAGGAATCATGAAAAGATCAAGATGACCAGTCTTAAGTCCTGGTCACTGGGATCGGCATCCAAAAGTGTCATCTGTCACAAGGCAGCAGAACGACCCCCTAATCAGACCAAAGAAGGAGAACGACCCCCCCATCAGAGAATCTATAGCACACACTATTTAAGCGACTGACCACAGATCAGATCACTTTCCTGCCACGTGGCTGAGGATCATAGGAACACTTTGGAAGGTAAACTAGAGAAACAACAGCTTCTCTTTACAGAGGGAGATTAATCTGTAATTTAGGTTGTGTTTTTGGCACAGGGCAGGAGTTTACATTCAAGGTGGGATAGTTCCCATGGTTGCTTTGTGTCTGCCAATTTATTTTCTTCAACAGTACAGTTCTTGTCAAATATCTAAATTACTTTCTTTGGATAGATAGGAAGATAATTCTTTATTATATTTTCTTTTCCAACAGTGATGCTACATATAGGGTTCATTTGTTAAGATTTAACAAGATGCTGATTTAAAAGTCAATGAAGTATAGCTTTCTTTATCTGCTGCTAAAGAATTTATATCAAAACCTACAATCTCTAATTGACCTAAAATTTGCTAATTCTTTGGAAAAATTATATCAGGAAGAAAACTGAATGGGGAAATTGTTTGACAAGTACTGTGCCCAAAGCACTACAAATTTAGATTTGCCTGATTCCAAATTCATCTGATTTAAAAACTGAAGAGGAAAGAAAAGACAAAAGGAGTCTATTTAGTTCGATGAAATACTACAGAGTCTAGCTTCAGGCACTCAGAATTTTAAAGTAATTACTTTTAAAGTAATTGATTATTTCTTCATGTAAGTTACATTAGCTGAGCTGAGGTGTACTGATCACCCTAGGTGGGTAGAAACAGATTGCCTGGAGACTACATCCTTGTAAGGACGTTTGCTATGCAGGACACACAATGATGTGACTCTAACCAGTAGAAAATGCCAACACTGTGCACAGCTTGCTGAGCCCTCTCCTGCTCAGTTTCTAGCATTTATACATACCCAAATCAAGATGCTTTTCTAATCCCTTGTCCCCTTTCTTCCATGTTAAACCACCTCACTTCTCTCCATAGAATAAATTTCTGTCATCATAATTACTGGAGGAACGCCTAGCTGGAGTTATTTTAATTTCTAAATCCTTGGTAATAACTGGAAAAAAACTTATTTAGAACAAGATAGGCTCACAAATATTTGATTTTTCTTCTAATTTTTACATTTTCCAACAATTTAATATGTATCAGAATCATGGTTTTCAAGTAAACTGTGAACACAAGATTTGACTTGGTGATTTGTGCCCAGTGATGTCACTGTTTGCCGTTTGGTAGAATTAGAAGTCCAGGTCCATTAATGGTTGATTTTAGCTAACTCATGTCTGCGAGAATTATAGGTTTATGCGTGATTTACTTGGAACAGATCTTCCGGAAGTGTCTGAAAAATGACGTGGGCCGTCACTTGATGACATTGTCACCGTGGCAGGATAAACAGTGGCGGGGCTGTCCAGGTTTTTGCATGTGACTGTGGACAGCCCTCTGGAAACCCAAGTAGAACAAAATAAAGCTATTTGCAATTCGATACCCAAACCCCATACTTGAAAAAATACATAGCTAATTGTTTTTCTCTACTTTTTATTGAGGTATTTAATACCACATAGATGAATATAAATAAAATACTTAAAATAGCCTGAGGCCATTTCACATAAAACTGATCTGGGCATTCTCAGAGCTGTTAAAGCACAGGCTTGGGACAAAGCCATTAGTGAGCAGAATCTATGCAATGCTTCAGTATAACCTGGCCCATCTCCATAGCCAACAACAGAGGGAGGCCACCTACAGCCCCCAGACCTCTCACACTGTCCTGAGCACATCTGTCTCCTGTGAGGTAACAGGGCAAGGACCCTAAGAGCAGACAACTGCAGAAAGGGGCTGCCTGCCACTATCTGGCAAACCAGGGAAAACTGGGGCTCACCTGTCACTGAGGGGCTGACGTGTAGTGAGGGAAATGGGTGGCGGGCCCCGGCCTTAGCCTGGGAGCTGTTGGCAACTGATTACTGCTGGGTGAGGGAGGGCAGATGTTTAAAATCTCTAGATAGGCTGAAAAGACTCCAGTGGATGAACTTGTACCAAAGGACATCTGGGTACAAATGCTTGACCAGATAGGACTTAACACATATGACAGAATGCATGAGGTCCTGGGGTGGGGGGGGCGCATAGATGGGCAAGGGGTTCCAAACTTGATTAAGAGCTATTGTATGAAATGCACAAAAACTCAACAAAAATATTAAAGCAAATGAGAGTTGCAAGACCGTGTGCTACATAAGAAACCAGATGCAGGAAAACTATGGGATTCCACTCACAAGAATATCTACAACAGGAAAACTTATAGGGGCAGGAAGGCAGCATGATGGTGCACAGAGCTGGGAGGGGGCAGTGTTTAGTGGGTATAAAGCTACTCTTTGGGGCCATGAATAAAGGCTAGAGATCGACAGTGGTTCAGACTGGATGCCTTTGTAAATACACTTAATGCCACACAATTGTATATTTCAAAGGGATTAAACAAAATGTTTACATGACATATTTTATACAGTAATAAATAAAAGAGGAAACAGAAAGAAAATAAGCATCCTTGCTTTGTCCCCAAAAGAAAAACCTCAAAATCACAGGGGCTATTCATGAGGGATTGAATAAAACTGTGACTTAAAAAAAAAAAAAAAGTTTTCTGCCAGGAAACTTAATTTTCCTCCCAACGGCTTAAGGAAACACGCACACACATGTATCTCCACTCCCTCCTCAATGAACACAAGAGGTCTTCTTGTTGAAATGTGAGCCCACTCCTGGAACAGCCTCACTTGGGTAAACTGTGGAGTAGACATACAGCTTGGGAGTAGGCGCAATGCATTTGGATAGTGCGCTCCCAAAGGCACCATGGGGAAACATGTAAAACTATACTGTATTATAGGACCCTCGGCAGGATGGACATTTGGAAGTGGGGTCAGGGAGAAAGGCCCAGATGCAACAGTGGAGCAGGTAAGCATGTACCTTTGAGACCAGTTTTTGCCTGTACCTCAGCTGGAGGTGGCATAGTCCCCCACTAAGAACAAGGAAGAGGGAGCCCATGTTCCTGATAACACACCTGCAGAGGTCCCTTCCAATCTTTCCACTCTGCTCCAGGGAGCCCAGTGCTGCCTGGACACCACCTGGTGAAGAGTGACGGCCAAGAGGCTGGGTCTGAGGATTAGCATCCCTGGAGGGCACTTTTCTATAATCCAGATGTAATCACAGACAAGACCTGCTGAACAAGTCTTTCTTTTGTGATGAACAGGGAATTTCAAGAAAGTTCTATACCTACCTAGGTAAAGCTGTTGCCTTTTGTACCTAAAGTCAGCTTTCACACCACTTTATGATCGTTCTTTGACCTAACCACAAGGAGCGCCTGCATAGGAAAGACCCACTGTGGGGGGGGGGGTCAGTGAACATGGTGACCCGGCTGCCTGGGGAAAAGGGGCAGTGCTGGCTTCCTCTCTGTGTGAATGGACAGGAGAGAAGGTGACGCAGATCACCCCGTCCCCAGAAGGCTGAGTATCTGGCTCAGGATCATATTGTGGTTCCCTCCTGGAAAGCGTCCTCCATCAACTCTGCCTGTGTCTCCTACCTTCCCTTGGCAATCTGCCTTTTCTTTGTGAGAGAGGAAGACAACACTGCAAGATGTGTTTCTGGTACTGAAGACAAATTTCTTCTCTCTAAAAAAATCAGAGTTAAGATTTCTCCCCCTGAATGCTCAGCTTGTCAAACATATATAGTTGGTGACTAACCTGTCTGCCAATCATTATTAATTATCTGACATGGGATACAGGTAGTTTCCAAATCAAATCTGTTTCTCAGTTACATTGTCTTACAAAAGAATAGTAGCTAAATCTTGGCTGTGCAAGGTCAAACTGGATTTTACAAAATGAAATGTTTACTTTATAAAGGGTTGTAGTCTTTCCTATCCATTAATTACCTATCCATTCTCTCATTTGAGAACTAATAAGAAGGGGCTGGAGAGATGGCACAGTGGCTAAGAACACTGGTTGTTCTTGCAGAAGACCTGGGTTCAAATCCCAGCACCCACATGGCAGCTAACAACTGTCCATAACTCCAGTTCCAGGGGATCCGACAGCCTCTTCTGTCCTCTGCGGGCATTGCACGACACGGGTGCACTTACCTACATGCAGGCAATATAT